ACAGGACACCTTTCAAACCCACTATAGCTCCATTCTTGCTAAGGAAAAAAGAATTTTTTGTTTTTACTTTTAATGTTTATCCAAGTTACACATGAATGTGAAGCATAGAATAGCTCCATGTTTTTACAACCAAGCAAGAAAAGTGGTCCCCTTCTCCCTGCTGGTCCCTCCTCACGGGCAGTCACCTTCCCCTCTTGGCTTTTTCTTTTGATATTTACCAGTTTCTAAATCACGTACTTGTGCATTTTTTAACTGTCGGCTCTATCTATGGCTCTCTTGTGTTGCAATTTTGTTCCTGTCACCCATTGGGGTGTGGTGAGCCATACCCGACCCACCTAAACCACCACCACCCTTTATTTATTTGATCACAAATCTGCTATTTGGGCAGCTCCTGAAGGAGACAGCCGCGTCTGCTCTTCGCGGCCTCAGCTGGGGTGCCCGGACAGGAGCTGGGGACCCACTCCCTGAGGAGGTTGTCCTAGGCCGACAAACTGGCTCCTCTCCACATGGGCTTCTCCACAGGCTGCTTTAGCTTCCCTGCAATATGACACTGCATTCTAAGAGACAGGAGGAAACTGCCGGTTTCTTAGGGCCTGGGTCTGAAAACCAGCCCACTGTCACGTTGGACATTTCTACCTGGTAGCAGTCACAGGGCCTGTCCAGATTCAAGGGAGGGGACATAGATTCCATTTCTATTTCATTAATTAACTTAGCAGCTCCACTGGGGTATAATTGACAAATAGGAATTGTATATACGTATTTAAGGTGCAAAACTTGATGTTTTGATATATGTATACACCGTGAAATGACCACCATAATCAAGCTAATTAACATAACCTCACAGTCACCATTTTCTCTTTGTGGTAAGAGCATTTAAGATCTGCCCTCTTAGCCACGGCCAGGCAGCTCAGTTGGTTAGAGTATTGTCCCAATACACCAAGGTTGCAGGTTTGACCCCTGGTCAGGGCACATACAAGAATCAACCAATGGCCCAGCTGGTGTGACTCAATGGATTCAGCATCATCCCATGCACCAACAGGCCACCAGACTGATTCCTGACCTGGGCACATGCCCAGGTTTTGGGCTCAGTCCCCAGGAGCGGGTGTGCAGAGGCAGCCAATCAATGATTCTCACTCACCCATCACTGATGTTTCTATCTCCCTCTCCCTTCCTCTTGCTCTAAAATCAATAAAAACATTAAAAAAAAATCAACCAATGAATGCATAAATAAGTGGAACAAATCGATGTCTCTCTCCCCTCTCTAAAAATAAAATTATTTTTAAAAAAGACCTACTCTCTTAGCAAATTTCAAGCATACAACACAGTATTGTTACCTATATCACCATGCTGTACATTAGGTCTCCAGAACTCATTCATTTTCTAACTGAAACCTTCTACCCTTTGACCCAGAGCTCCTAATTCTTTCCCTCCCCCCCCACCCTGGGAACCACCACTCTCCTCTCTGCCTGTATTTTAGATTCCACATATGAGAACATACAGTATTTCTTTCTGTGCTTGGCTTATATCACTTAGCATAACATCCTCTAGTTCATCCAGGCTGTCATAAATGGCAGGATGTCCTCTTTAAAGGCCGAATAACATTCCATTTTATGTATGTACCACATCTTCTTTACCCATTCATCTGCAGGACACTTGGGTTGTGTCCTCATCTCGGCTTGATCATGAGGACCTGCTTGCCCACGTGCTGGGTGTCAGCACTCTCCTAACCTCGATTTCCGACTTTATAAAAAATATATTTTATTGACTTCAGGAAGAGGAAGGGAGAGAGAGGTAGAAACATCAATGATGAGTCACTGATCGGCCGCCTCCTGCACGCCCCCTACTGGGGATCGAGCCCACAACCCGGGCATGTGCCCTGCCGGGAATCGAACCTCGATCTCCCAGATCCTAGGTTGATGCTCAACTGCTGAGCCACACCGGCCGGGCCCTTTGCCATTTTTTCTGGGCACTGTCCCTTCATGGCTGGGAATATACAACCCAGACTCGGAACTTTGCTAGAACCTCGTTATATGGTGACATTTTTTTGTGTCTGTCTCTCTCCCCCATGGTAATACAGGAAAACACAGCCTTGCTCATGTGTCCGCACAGCTATGCAGGTGGTCTGGGACAGCTGAAGAAGGAATCAGTCTTCCTTAAAGAGTTTTTATTGATTTTTAGAGAGAGAGGAAGGGAGAGGGAGAGAGAAACATCGATGAGAGAGAAGCGTCCATTGGCTGCCTCCTGCACTCCCCCTACTGGGGATTAAGCTGGCAACCTGGGCATGTGCCCTGACCGGGAATTGAACCAGTGACCTCTCGGTGGATGGACAACAATGAGTCTTCCTTTTAATCTTTTTTTAAGTTTTTCCACCTTTTTTTTTATTCTTTAAAAAAAATTATTTGTTTTGCAAGTCTTCCTTTGTGATGAGTTTCGTTTCATCACCCCTTTTGTCAAGTCCCCTGAGCGTGGTGCCACAGGAAGCACTGTCTTCCTTCTTGGACCCGTGGACACGGTCCCACCCACACCATGCACATGAATGGAGTCATGGCTGCATGTGTGGGTGCAGATGGAGGGCCCAGACAGTGGGGTGTGGTGGAAGGCAGGTGCCTGAGCCCTAGTCCTAGCTGGGCAGTCTTGCTATATCACCTTGGCCAGAGACGTGACCCCTTTCTGGGTGCAGTTTCCACTCCTGTCAAATGGGGTGGTGGGATGGGGCTGCTATGGCCCCGTGGCTCTAGGGACATCAGGGCGAGGCCTGCCTCTGCCTCCCACGCAAGTTCCGGCAGCAAAGACCTTCCTTGCTGACCAAGCCAGCTGTTCCTCATGAGGCCTGGAGGCGCTGGGGCATATGGAGGGATGTCCGGTCTGGGTCCACGCTGCCCGGGAGGGGGCCCCAACACTGACCCACCGCGTCCCTGAAGGGCACCACCCCATGGGCGCTGCTCTGCCCTCAGCTCCCAGGCTCTGAGGGAGGTCCTGGGGGACAGAGCTAGAGAGGAGGGCTGCTCCTCCTCCGAGGATGGGGCAGTTGAGGGACANGCGTCCATTGGCTGCCTCCTGCACTCCCCCTACTGGGGATTAAGCTGGCAACCTGGGCATGTGCCCTGACCGGGAATTGAACCAGTGACCTCTCGGTGGATGGACAACAATGAGTCTTCCTTTTAATCTTTTTTTAAGTTTTTCCACCTTTTTTTTTATTCTTTAAAAAAAATTATTTGTTTTGCAAGTCTTCCTTTGTGATGAGTTTCGTTTCATCACCCCTTTTGTCAAGTCCCCTGAGCGTGGTGCCACAGGAAGCACTGTCTTCCTTCTTGGACCCGTGGACACGGTCCCACCCACACCATGCACATGAATGGAGTCATGGCTGCATGTGTGGGTGCAGATGGAGGGCCCAGACAGTGGGGTGTGGTGGAAGGCAGGTGCCTGAGCCCTAGTCCTAGCTGGGCAGTCTTGCTATATCACCTTGGCCAGAGACGTGACCCCTTTCTGGGTGCAGTTTCCACTCCTGTCAAATGGGGTGGTGGGATGGGGCTGCTATGGCCCCGTGGCTCTAGGGACATCAGGGCGAGGCCTGCCTCTGCCTCCCACGCAAGTTCCGGCAGCAAAGACCTTCCTTGCTGACCAAGCCAGCTGTTCCTCATGAGGCCTGGAGGCGCTGGGGCATATGGAGGGATGTCCGGTCTGGGTCCACGCTGCCCGGGAGGGGGCCCCAACACTGACCCACCGCGTCCCTGAAGGGCACCACCCCATGGGCGCTGCTCTGCCCTCAGCTCCCAGGCTCTGAGGGAGGTCCTGGGGGACAGAGCTAGAGAGGAGGGCTGCTCCTCCTCCGAGGATGGGGCAGTTGAGGGACAGGGTTGGCATGTCTCAACCCTGGGCACTTACTGTGAGGCCACCCAGGCCAGGGCAGCACCCAGAAACCTCCTCATCCAAATACCAAACCACCAGGTGCTCACCTCTCTTCTCTTCCACATACTTGGTTCTAGAAGGCTCTGGGGACGGGAGCAGAAAGGGGATGGTGGCCCCTGGGACATCTTGGAAATGGCAGGATGGACAGACTGAAGGCTGACTGAGGTGTCAGAGGAGAGAAAGGAACAGGGGGCAGGTAGAGACGTATCCTTTGTCCCTCTGGGACCCAGCCCAGTGCTGGGTGGACCATGAGCCACAGCCTGCCAGTGACAGACAGAGGCGCTGTGAGGTACTGCGTTGAATTTTTCTCTGAAGGAAATTCACTATAACTAGACCAAAGGAACTGTTAATATGAACCCCCAGGAAACAGTGTGGTGAAGCCGGGGGCCTTGGTCACCATGGTTTTCACACTAGTTTCTGACAGCTCCTGGGAAGGCAAACTGTGGTTTCCAAGTTTGGTGGGAAGAAGCATGTGCTGTGCTGTGGTCGGGCCCGCTGGGGAGAGAGTGCTGTCCAGGGGCCTGCCGTCTCTGTCCATGTCCCTGAAGATGGTGGCATCAGTAGACCAGAATGCCTGACAGGTGACTAGGCTGGGCTGGGCCACCAGGAGCCCGTTTCCCCCTCCCTAGTTGGGAAGGCCAGTTTGCGGGCCCCTCACTTTGCTCCCAGACTCCCTTGATGTTGCCAGGGTGCAAGACTGGGACTGAAGGTGCTGAGCAACCAGCTTGAACCAAGGGAGACAGGGCCAGAGTTCTGGCCTGGGGGGGGGGTCACAGGACCCACACTGCATCCCGAGGCCCAGTGGGCTGGCAGGCAGAGAGGAAGTGGTGGGGGCAGGGATGGACAGCTAGCAGGCGGCAGGGCGATGGGTGAGCTTGCCACCTTGCATACTAATTATATTTCTAATCAGCCAGAACGATATGTCAGGTGGCGAGCTCCGTGAATCATCCTGGAACTGACAGGAAGGTTCCAGAGGGTGGTGATCCAGCTCAGCTGTGAGGGGTGGAGCCTGAGCCAGGGCCCTGGTCCTGGGCCCAAGGGGGCACCCTACCGCCCAGCCTCCCCACGGAGCCCCATACACCAGACTGCACTTCACACTTGATTTTACTCCATGACACTGATTTGCTGAAAACTCCATTTCCTGGGCAGGGGAAGGCAGTAGGTGGCCTCCCAGGAGGACAGGGCACAACTGCTCTGGTGAACACTGGCCAGGCCTCAGTCTTCTGTCTAGCCCCATCCCCTCCCCTCCAGTTCATTTAAAAACTGAGCTGCAAAAATAAAATAGGATGAAAAAAATAAAAACAAAACCCTGAGTTGTTAAAAACCAAATTAAAAATCCCCTTTGGTGTCAAAAGGTCCTATTCCTAAAAGCCAGTGGGTGGGGTAGGCAGGTGGGTGGGGCGGTGCCAGGATGGTGGTTTCAGTCCTCCTTCTCATGGTCATGGTCACTGTCACACTCCTTGTCCTGCAGGCCCAAGAGGTTCTCAGTGCCTGGCCGCTTCAGGATGGCGCTGTACTTGAGGGCTGCAGCCTCTGCCCGCAGCACTACCTCCACCAGGCTGAAGATGGTGACGACCTGTGGCAGAGCAGAGCCCGGCAGTGACATGGGGGGGCTCAAGGGGCTGGCCACAGGCCATGAGGGCCAGGGGCCTATGGCAAAGTCCAGCTCTGCCACCATCTGTCCAGTGGGGCCCCAGGACCACTTGCTCTGCGCCTTTAGGCCTCTGCTGCCAGTCTGAGAGCTGAACCCAATCAGGTACTGATGCTGTGGGTCCTGGTGCCTGGCACACAGTAGGCACTCAGTGTGGACAAACAGCTGGGGTATGGGCTGTCCTTGGGAGCATGTCGTAGGTACAAACTGTTATACAGAATTTGTCGGACAGGAGGTCCATAGCTTTCATTAGATTCTCAAAGGACCCCAAAAGTTAAGGACTTGGTTTTAAAGAGACAGGCAGAGCCTCCCCCAACCTCCACCTCTCCTCACAGTGAGTGTCCCCAAGGGAGGGAAGGTGGTGCCAGAAAGCTAGAAGGGGGTGTGGGTAAGCCTGGGTGCTGGGGAAGGCCAGGGGGGTGCAGCCCAGGAGGCAGGAGGAGGGCTCCCCAAGTGCCAGGGGTGGACAGGGACACAGTGGTGCTCTGGGAAAGTAGCCCCAGCCCCAGTTCTAACCTGCTGCACTGGCTCCTGCTCCAGGTCCTCAGGATCCCAGACAAGTGTGAGCACCGGCTTCTTGCCCACCCTCTGGAAGTGGTGGGACCGCAGGGGCAGGGCCTGGGGTGCACAGAGCTGGGTCTCAGGTCTTGGGCTCTGGGTACCACCTCCTAACCTTCGATCCTGCACAGCCCTGATGCTGGGAAGTAGCCTCCTGCCTTGGCCCACCTCCAACTGGCCTCAGGGAGTGCCCTGCCCTGAGGGCCAGCCCAGCAGCTGGTGTTTGACTTTCCAGGGGTGACCCCCCCATCTTCACCTCTGGCCAGCTTCAGGGCGGCCCTGCCAGGCCATCTTCCACTGAGGCAGGATAAGGCCAGTACCTAGGCTCTGTGTGTTATTTGGGGAAGTGGTGGGTCTGCCTTTGCTCCTCAGGACCTGGGCCAGAGGACCAGGCACCTGAGGCTGGAGGGCTACTGCCCCCTGCTGGCACTAGGTGTTAGCACAGACTGAGGGTTGGGTTGTCTGCAGAGATGATCTAGACCTGAACTTCTGTAGCACTCATTAAACATCAAGACTCAAGGACAAGAACGCTGATTGGTCCCAGCTGGTCTCTATTCTGTCTCTTCTCTTTTACTACATGTTGTTAATATCATGCTCATTCCACACTATGTGCTGAGCCCTGCACTCCCTAAAGTGCTTTGGATGTTAACCCCAAGGTAGGCTGAAGCAGCTCCGTCAGGTGGCCTTAGACAGGCACCAAGACTTGGAATGAACAGCCACCAGGGGCAAAGGGTGGTTTTTTTCCTTTTGTTTAGGGGAAATTGCCTCCAGAGTGGCCATGGACCATTCTTTCTGATCTTTTCTTCCCCCATGTTTCTATAAAAAATCTCACAAAACCTGCCTGCCCTACCATCCTGTACCAGTTGTGGAGGGACCTGTTTTATGGTTGCCTAAGTCCTTGGAGAAGATGGCCTGGATCCCCTTCCCAGACAGACACAGCTGGGTGTCTTGGCAGGGCCCATGGGTGGGCTTGGTGCTGGGTGGGGGAGGGGAGCAAGGTCAGGGGCTCCATGCCTTCTGCCCCATGTGCCGGCTCAGCTCACACCTGGGCGAGGGTGCAGTGCAGTGTCACCACCATAGCCTGGATCCTCAGTGTGGATGGGGACAGCAGGGTCCTCGACCTGTGCTCCCATCCTCCATGCTTGTGTGTCCACAGAGGGCTGTCCCTGGGCCAGAACCCCCAGATCCTAGGGAACTAGGAAGGAGGCCTCAGTGGAGGGGAATGGGACAGAAGGGGAAAACAGTGCTAAGTGGGTGTCTGGGAGGGGACAGGGCAAGGGAACTACATGGCCTTGTACTCATCTCATAGTCCAGGAGCTTCTGCACCCTGTAGCTGGCCTCTGCCCACCCAGCAGGTACCTCACGTGGCCTGGTGGCCCTGCACTCACATTGCAGTAGATGCGCTTGTGCACCCCATAGCGCAGCACCAGCACGTCGAAGGCTTGGTTCAGGACACCCAGCACCATGGCTTCCGACTCCAAGGGGCCACTCTCCTGCAGGGCAGGGCAGGGCAGGCTCCAGCCAAGGCTTGGCAACAGGATATGGCGTCCCCCCAGGGCCTACCCCGGCTGCTGAAGGCCCCAGGACTCCTCCAGGGCCCTTGTGAGCAGCTGCCCAGGAGGGAAGGTGGGGCAAAGGGGAGGGGAGGAGGAGTAAGGAAGATGGATTTACCTTGACCAGGACGGCGAAGAAGAGGTGGGTGCTGAGCTCATGCACGCGCTTGGACGCCATGCGGCGGTCATTGCAGTGGTCGGCCTGCTTCTGCAGGGCACTGGGCTCCACATCTGGCACCTCCCTGTAGCCTGAAAAGAGGGTGGTTGGGGGGCTGCTGGTGGGGGCATTGCTCTGTGTGTACTGGCCAAGGCTGGGTGATGGGCAGCGTGGTGCCCTGGGACCAGGGAAGTTGAGGCCTGGCAGGCCCATGCGGAGCCAAGGCCTCCTCCTGCCCAGCTCCAGAGGCTGAGAATGGTGGGGTGGCCTTTCGCTTTTAATGAGCCCTAATGTGGCTCCTTCCACAGGTACTCACAGGGAGTTTCTCGCCCAGGCTCCCTGCTGCTGGGGCTGCCCACCCCTTCGAACTTCCACAGTCACCGCAGTGCAGCCTCCGGGCACCCACTCTGGGGGAGGGGGGGCGGCGAGCTGGGCACCGACCTGCATTCAGAGTGGTGCCCCTTACCGAGTGCGGCAGCCAGGAGCCGGTGCACCACGATGTCAGGGAAGCGGCGGATGGGTGAGGTGAAGTGTGTGTAGAGCGGGACGTTGAGTGCGTAGTGCCGGAACTGCTCCGGGTCCTGCAGCATCCCCGAGCAGAAGTATAGCGCCATCTGGGGGAGTGGGCACTCTTAGAGCCTGGCCAGGCCAGGTGGGGCTGGGCCAGAGGCTCCATACCCTCTGCTCCCAACACTCCACCCTGTGCTAGCCAAGGGAAGCAACAGTTCACCAGCCTGCCAGCCTCAGCCCCTCTGTCCCTGATCATCTGTCCTGGGGCTAAGACCCAGGTATGAGTTCTAAAGGCCCTTCGCAGGGCAGGAATTATGATGGGTGTAGGAAGGAACACCTAGTTGCTCTAGGGGCCCAGGAAATCGCTCCAGGCAGGAAGGGTCCTGCGGATCCTGGGAGCCCTGGTCACAGGCCCTGAAGCTGCCTGCCCTGTGTCCCTGAGCTCTCAGGGATTCGGGAATCAAGGATGAGCTGCTGCCTGGGAGCAAATGGCCAGGTTCCTTCCTCATCGGAGCCAAAGTCACACCCTGTGTGTTCACTTGCTCGCTCCTGGGCTGCTTGCCATGCTCTCACTCTCACACCCTTCCATGTGCTCGCTCGGCCAAATGGACAGCTGGCTCCAGTTCCTGTGTATGGAGGCCCTGGAACCCTTGGCACAGCTGGTGGTGACCTGCTCGGCTCTCCAACTCGGCTTCTCTTCCAGCTCCTGCTGGGCTCTGGGTGATGTCTGGGGCAAGTCACAGGGGGAGGTGAGAGCTGCCTCCACTCTGAGCCACGATTGTTCTCAGAGGTGGCCCAGTTCCCCAGGTGAGCTGGGGTGAGGAGGACAGATGACTTTGGCTCCCTTCCGGGCTGGCAAAGGTATCTCTGGGT